TCCCTCTCTCCCTTCCTCTCTGAAATCAGTAAAAAAAAAAAAAAAAAAAAAATTATATATATATATATTTTAAAGAGCAAGCAAATACAGACCAAATCCCCATAAATGTAATTACAACTGAGTATTTATTCTGAATGGGAACTGACTAGACTTGCTTCAGAAATGATTCACAAGATTTTTTTATAACTCTTGAGTTGCCCTGTGCCTAGCATAGAGGATGCTGCCAACCATCCTTAATGTGAGACAGCACAGAATTTAGAGGCCTAAAGGCTCTGGCTAAGTGCCTGTTTCAGAGATGTCACAATCTCCTTGCTGTCATTTAAGGAAAATAAAAAAACTTAAGACTTTCTTAATGTGGCCCTGGCTGGTGTGGCTCAGTGGTAAAGCACTGGCCTCAAAGAATCATGGGTTCAAATTCCCGGTCAAGGGCACATACCTGGGTTGCAGGTTCCTTGTTCCCAGTCAGGGTATGCAGGAGGCAATCAATTGATGTATCTCTCTCACATGAATGTCTCTCTCTCTCTCCTCCCGCCCCTCTCTTTTTCTTCCCCTTCTCTTCCACTCTCTCTAAAAATCAATAGGAAATATAAGCTCAGATGAGAATCAACAACAAAAAGACTTTCTTAGTGTGTAAAAATTTCCCCATTCATGAACTCATACTTGTCATTCTGATAACTTCTGACTCACATATATATCTAATTAATTGATTATAATTACAGTTCTTCGGCTACCAGAAACATGAAAAAAATGTTCTATACAATAAAAATTACAGAGTATTTATTCTGAATGGGAACTGACTAGACTGGCTAGTCAGCAACTTTCTAGCCCAACAACAACTTCATCAAAAACAGGAATCTCACTGAGTAATTTGAAAGCAGCATCATAAATGCAGCCTTTTCTGCATTTACCCAAATATCAGATAAAATATGAGTTACATAATATTGAGTAGGATAAAAATAAGGCAATTGTTGTTTATTCTGTTTTTTTCAACAATAGTCTAGCTTATATCAAGATATTTCAGTCATATGAAACAACATAATCCTATAAAATAGTCCTATATAATAAAGAGGTGATATGCAAATTAACCCTCACACCCTCACAAGATGGCTGCCTACGACCAGGCTGGCAGGGGCGTTAGTGAGGGACGACCAAACGACTGAACAAGCATGCTGTGTGGAGCGATCAGGCCGGCAGGGGCATTAGTGAGGGACGACCAAACGACTGAACAAGCAGGCTGCGTGGGGTGACCAGGCCGGCAGGTGGGGTTAGTGAGGGACGACCAAATGACTGAACAAGCAGGCTGCGTGGGGCGACCAGGCTGGCTGGGGGTTTAGTGAGGGATGACCAAACAACTGAACAGCAGACTGCGTGGGGCGACCAGGCTGGCAGGGGGGCCATGAGGGGTGACC